GGGGTGATTTCCAGCTAGAATCCTGCACCAGTCTGGTGAAGGGCTGCGCTGCTTCACCAATGTCTTCTGGAGATTTCAGTCGCAGTTTGGGGTGATTTCCAGCTAGAATCCTGCACCAGTCTGGTGAAGGGCTGCGCTGCTTCACCAATGTCTTCTGGAGATTTCAGTCGCAGTTTGGGGTGATTTCCAGCTAGAATCCTGCACCAGTCTGGTGAAGGGCTGCGCTGCTTCACCAATGTCTTCTGGAGATTTCAGTCGCAGTTTGGGGTGATTTCCAGCTAGAATCCTGCACCAGTCTGGTGAAGGGCTGCGCTGCTTCACCAATGTCTTCTGGAGATTTCAGTCGCAGTTTGGGGTGATTTCCAGCTAGAATCCTGCACCAGTCTGGTGAAGGGCTGCGCTGCTTCACCAATGTCTTCTGGAGATTTCAGTCGCAGTTTGGGGTGATTTCCAGCTAGAATCCTGCACCAGTCTGGTGAAGGGCTGCGCTGCTTCACCAATGTCTTCTGGAGATTTCAGTCGCAGTTTGGGGTGATTTCCAGCTAGAATCCTGCACCAGTCTGGTGAAGGGCTGCGCTGCTTCACCAATGTCTTCTGGAGATTTCAGTCGCAGTTTGGGGTGATTTCCAGCTAGAATCCTGCACCAGTCTGGTGAAGGGCTGCGCTGCTTCACCAATGTCTTCTGGAGATTTCAGTCGCAGTTTGGGGTGATTTCCAGCTAGAATCCTGCACCAGTCTGGTGAAGGGCTGCGCTGCTTCACCAATGTCTTCTGGAGATTTCAGTCGCAGTTTGGGGTGATTTCCAGCTAGAATCCTGCACCAGTCTGGTGAAGGGCTGCGCTGCTTCACCAATGTCTTCTGGAGATTTCAGTCGCAGTTTGTTTTATCAATTCTCTATATGTATCTATTGTAAATGCGCTAACTCTGACAGTTTCATCTGGGAGGGTTTTGGTGTACTATGCTTCTTGTGCTGTTGCATCAGAAAGGTTTTTTATCATTTCCTTGAAATTTTTGACTCCGTAGATGAATATCGGAGGTGGTTTTGGTGTCTTTGGTGGATTATTAGTTCCATTTGTTTGAATATCATTGCTTTTGGTCGTGGTTGTTAGCGAGTTGTACCGGTTTTGTGCATTGGTTGGTGCGATTGTGGGAGTACTGGGTTCTTCATTTTGTTTTTCTCTCTTACGTTTCTTTGTTCCTTTGCTGCAGCGCTAGTTTCATGCTCGTAATTACTAGAGTCAGTATCTAGATCGTAGTTTTCAGCCGCTGCAGTTACATTCACTTTAGGAGGTTTTAGAATATTTTGGATACTGAAATTCTGATTACCTGGTTGGTGTGAGAAGGATGGTTGTTGTGACTGGTGATGTTGTAGGGGCTGATAAGGCGGTTGAATTTGTACCGCATTCGGTACATAGTGCCCTGGTTGTTGCCAGTACGTTTGGTTTTGAAATTTGGGATCTGCATATCCCATAGGCGGAAATTGTTGAGGTGTTGGGAACATGTCTAAGGGAATACTGAGACCAACTTCCTGGCTGATCCCTTATTATTGTTAATTCCTTCCTGAAGTATAAGTGTTGCACCAACTTCCTTGTATAACAATTAAAAAACTAGATAACGGTACCCTTTCGATGTCAGCGGCACTCTCAGCTGTTTTTGTTGTTGTAGAATCGTCCCGTGCAGGCACTGTAGCTACTGAACCACGCGGGAAGTGTGCAGAAAGCTTCGCGGTGCGCTTGTTAGCCGGAACAGTCGAACACTTCCGTACGCTAAGAAGCCCAAGTCTCTATTCACGTTTATCAGAGTGAAGAATGTTTCGAGCAGAACTTCTAGAGAAGAATGAAACAGATTTTATATCCAGTACACTTTCTCCTAAGACTTTCGGTTTTCGACATAATTAACCATTTGAAGCCCAGTGGTTACTATGTATACCACCTGTTTAAACATCCTAAAACGCTGCATTATGCCCGCACAGTATGTTTGTGTGTTTCATACGGTTCTCGCAGCAAATAGCGGTTATTTCCCTAAACAGCAGTAGCCGGTTTGGCTTTATAGCGGAAACGTAATATGTTTCCTGTGAGATACGAACTAAATGTTTCTATATTGTAGCATGTTGATCCGTTGTTAGGCAACGGCAGCGAAATAAGCAACTACAAAACAGCCGTTGCTAGGTAACGGCTTCTCCAACAGACACGAACGCAACAATTACACCGCAAAAATACACTGAACCAGGAGAAATGTTTTCAACGCGGTCCGTGTCGAGATGTTATAAGCGGAACAAGTAAGCAGTTAGTTAGCGAAGAGTTGGTTGGTGAGTCAGTGAGTTCGTAAATGGTTGAGGAGTGAGTTAGAGGACTGCTGTGGTTGAGCGCTTTTGACCTGTTGCAGCGTGAGGCTTAGTAGCTGTGGCCGGGAGTAGTTCAGGAACCCAGACGAAGGTTAACGTCCGCCGTAAGAAGCCGCTAGCAAGCAACGACTAATAGAGACTAACAGACTGAGAACACTATTCTGTGTGTGAGACAGTGATGTGTATAATGTGGTCATGAGTAGTATATTAAAGTTTTCCAAAAATCCAAACCCGAATATAGTCACTCCATCACGTTACAATATTATTTAGAAGAAATTCAGTCATTAAAGACTTGTGAACGAGAGGGCATAGGCTATGCGTATATTTCCTAACGATTTTATTGGTGAGGGGTTCTTGCACTTCGACGTTCTGTTCGCATGGAAAGACTCACCCGTCGCTGGACGTATTTCAGTGTTATTTGTCCTTGATGAAAAGAGATATCACTACAGTCGTAAATATATCTCACTTAAAAATAAAAATGTTCTCCTGTGTCGTACGTGGTCTATACAGTTCTAGCGTAAGTGCTGGATAGCTCAGTCAAAATAGCGACTAGACTACGAGTTGGACGACTGAGGAACTGGGATTCGATTCCCAGAAGAGGCAGGAGGTTTCTCTCTTCTCCAAATCATCCAGGCCGGCTGTATCCATTTCGCATCCATGGCTCTTTCTCCGCGCGCAGGGAGGCCGGGGCGTGAAGGTGACCGCTCATTTCCATCTATTGCGGAAGAGAAATGCACGGATTTTTTTATTTATTTGTATATTTATCTGAAGTTGATTCAACGACTCTGTCTGTAACTCTGGGTGAATAGCGTCGAATGATTGACTGAATAATTGGACGATTGAACAATGAATTAGAGAGAATATGAAAGAAAACGATCGTATCCTAAATTAAGGAGTTACTCTACTTCGGCATTTTCTTGGACCGACTGAGGAAAACCAAGAGAAACGTCGACCAAGACGGTCGATGTCGGGGCCTAGATTCGAACCGGCCACCTCGTGCAAGTCAGAAGCTTTACCGCTTTAACCAGTTCCCTCGTTAAAAATGCGTAGATCTCTACCTATACTCCCAATACATATTTATAGATCGGTGCATAATTAAACACAGGGTAATTTTTACCATTATCTCTCATATACAGAGAGTTTTTTTTAACTTTGTTGACTGGTGTGCTGCATGCCGTGATGCGCATACGAATTTTGTTTGGTAGGGAATCCTCGTGCCTGGTGGTCGATAACGTTTGGAATGAAGGGAAGTAATTAACGTGTGGACCGCTTGATGGCGCGGTCGGCAGTGCGACAGCCAAGAAGCAAGAACATAATTACTGAGAAGTTAGATGAGAGGGGCCAGACTTGAACATAACCTGTAAAATCACTGAAACGTCTAGCTCAAGAGAATTTAGTGTCAAAATCTAGTGCAAGAAGGGCAACACAATTGCTAAAGCTTAGACCCTAAGAAACAACCGTAATCGACGTACGCCTTGCAGCCGTGCGATCCATGCAGCAGGGTTTATTTTTGCAATTGTTTCTACAGCCTGTCGTCGAAGGTGAGATCGATCCGCAGTTGACATTCTTTTCCGGTGAAGCGTGGTTTCATTTGCAGGGATATGTAAATACACAAAATAGTCGCAGCTGAAGTTCACAGAATCCACATCTAACCCATGAAGTCCCGCTCCACCCAGTGATGTTGGTGTCTGGTGCGCCGTAAGTGCAAGACGGATTGTTAAGATAGCCACATATAGAAGGACAGCATTCTCAGTGCCTCATGTGGCATGTGAATTGTAACAACTTCATTCCGAACGTTATCGGCCGTCAGGCATGCTGATTCATCGGCTAAATTCGTATTCTTCTCACAGCCGGCAATGCACCGGTCGGCGTGAAGCGCAGAACCATGAAACCGGAAAACAAAGTAAAAATCCTTTGTGTGTGCGTGTGTCCAAAGAAACTGTCCTAACTTTTCCACCAGCTGCCTGTTTTTTCTTATAAACTTCGCCCTGAACGTAAAGCCAAATTTATAACATTTTTGTGTGTAACGAATCAACCGAACTGAATACAACTTTCACGCTTAGGTATGACCTTCACTTGTGTTTCTCAACCGGTAGAACACATCCCATTGGTAGCTCTTGACAGTCGGTAGGATGGGATGTGAGGTTTCGAAAATAATGATGAAGTCCGTGACACAGAAGCTTCCCTTCATTCTAAGCATTATCTCTTCATTATGCTGCACTATAATCGTATTTATCATAACAGAACCATACATTATTGTACATTGAAAAATAAAATATTCTAACAAAGTGTTCAATTGTTTAATTTTCCTTAAATGATTACTGTAATACTAAAATATACATAAATGTAAAACTGTACTTATTTTAAACAGAGAAACCGTGCTTTTACTTGTGGGACTACGATCTGACAAAAAACTGGTGGGACGTAGTATGCAAAAGGTTGAGAATCGCTGTTCTACATAACGTATACGAGTTTTATTTAATTTCATAAAGCTGCTAATTTTTACTGTCTTTAAGGGTTTCTTTCTTTCTTTCTTCCCTGGTAGGTTTGTATGTTTCCAATTTTCTGTATTAACACTTGGTCCACATCAGAGGAGCTGACCTGCCGATACAACTGTAATAGAAATGTGTCAATGAATGACGTCATTATGATTCAGATGGCGTGGTTCCTGCTGGCCCTGATCCTGTACTCTGAATCCCGGGTTCTTGTCAAGAGGAGCTTCAAGGATCAGTCCGTGAGGGGCTACCTTACTGAGGTGCTACGTTTCTTCATTTTGTATTCTAGGATTCTGAACCGATTTTACTAAAAGGGTTAAATACCCCAAGAACATACAGAAGTTACTTATTTACCTACTCACAGTTGGTAACTCTGATCTTGAGACTTACCACTTGAAAGTCTGAAAGTCTGTTTCCGCCCCTCATCCTTCACCCCATACGTGACAAGCTCTGATTGGCCAACTGTACTCACTTCCTTGCTTACTCCTTGGTTCAACCGACCTCAAACAACCTTGGCCTCATTTACGACAGATCCCCATATCCTCTATGTTTGCTTCTGTCTCCATCTCTTCACTTTCAGATCTCTGCATCTCAAGCTGGGCCCTTCCCAGTCTCCTTCTGCCTTTTGCCTTTCTTTCATAAATCTTGTTAGCCACCTTTGTTTGAGCCACTCTAATCTCATGTCACCAACCGCTCCATTCTTCTTTCTTTAATATCCAACAAGTTAATAATACTTTTCCGAATAAAAATTAACAGAAGAGAATCAATTTTCATACATGCCACCAGATCAGTTCCAGATTTTTAAATTACTCTGCATAATTCGATGCACTTGCAAAATCTTAAGCCTTCAAAGGACAGTGCTTTAACATTAAAAACTGTCTGTTTTGCCCCAGTACTGTATTTATGGGTTTCGTATAATATACTAAATACGAACTGTGTTTAGTCCCGGAACAGCACTAATTGTTTGGTCTTTATAATAGGAAGAAGGTGCTTACTGTGAGGTATAAACTAATTTTTTGTCTTGTATTATTAAAATGAACAGGTTACGGTAGCCGAGCGGTCTAAGGCATGAACTGTCCTCGCTCGGAAGCCGGGATCGTGGGTTCAAATCCCACTCAGGGCATTGATGTTTGGTGTGTTTAGGTAATGACCTTGCGACGGGCCAGTGACTCGTGCAAGGAGTCCTACCGTCTGCGAAATTATTAAAATAAACGAAAACCTCGACACCCGTATAAGAGTATAAGAGGAACGGATGAAAAAAAAAAGAAAAAGAAAAAAAGAAGAATTTTTGAAATGAATTTGAGGCTTCAGAGGGTTATTCGTATACTGTATGTCTCTCACGATCACTATGGAGTGAACATAACACGTGCTGGTCACGTAGAAGTGAAGTGCTCATTTGACTCATGGCCTCACAGTGAAACTTCACGCACCCCTTACCAACAGCATCTTACATCACTGTATATCTGAAAAATCGTATTAACGTGCACTTATAAACACGTGATACCGAAATGTTTTCATTTTAAACAAACTTTATTCGGATTGCGATGTTCTGAGGCGTAATACCATACTCTTTCGTACCATTTTTTCCCCCAAATTTGGGGGACGGGCTGATAATGAGTCCACACTAGTGGGTCTATGGTACCAATCCCGAATGATAGATGCATATTGAGTATTTGATGGAATTAGGATTGACAGAAGAAACCGAAGTACTCGGAGAAAACCTACCTCAGTGCCACTTTTTCTTTTAATTTGCAAAGTGGAGGACGGAGACCAGCTGGGCTCACTCGGCACGTCGGCCACTAATTGGTCTATTGTGCCTGCCCAGGTGATTATGATGTTGCAGAATTTGGTGGAATGAAGATTGGCAAGGGAAACCGAAGTACCCGGAGAAAACCTGCCCCAGTGCCACTTTGTTCACCACAAATCCCACATGACCTGACCTGGGATCGAACCCGGCCCGCCGAGATGGGAAGCCGAGTTTGGTACCAAGCTGCTGCCTACACCTGCCCTGGAGTCAGAGGCAGGCGTAGGCAACGGCCTGTAAGACATCTCAGAAGACAGTAGTCATAATATTGAAGTCAGACCTGTGGAGGTGATACATGCGCACACAACATTTGTCGCGAAAACCTGAGCTGCAAAGATCGCTTTGGGAAATTAAGAGTAGATGAGAGGTTAATACAGTATGCGCCAAAAATACAGTACTTAAATGAAAAGACGTCCTGTTGATACCACTGTCTATTCATGTGAAGGCCCCTTGCACGACAGAACCTTCTCAAATCCTGAAGAAATGGTCCGATCACCATCTCCCTGTAGCGTTCTTGGGTGATGGTAAGAGCATTGCCTTCCTCATCCTCAGTGAAGTAGGGGCCTAATATACCGTGTGCTGAGACGGCACACCATATTGTCACACGTGTACTATGTAGTGGTTTCTGAATGATAACATCTGGCTGCTCAAAGCCAAGGAAGGGAGATGTCTGGCAACCACTTCCTTATGAGTGGAAATAATACTCAACAATGAATACTTTTCCTCCATCGAGAGACCCATTTCCAACAACTGCACAACACAACTTCCTTTTCATTACTGGGAACACGTGCTGCTGGAGCTATGCCCCGCTGACAAATGCACATGTGCTTTCGAGATGCGCAAGTTTAAGTACTGCATTTTTGGTGCATACTGTATTTAACTATATCGTAAAGAGACGTACGTGGTGTGGACTGGATTTAACTGACTCAGGATGGGGTTCACTTGTGGATGTGATCCGGTTTTGTCTATGTTCACCTCTTTTAGTGATTTTATTCTGTGAAGTAGGTTACCAGTCTACTTACAGTTAATTAGTATAATCAATAATTAGATTTTCTATAGCAAGTAATGGATTTGATGAAGCTATGTTTTAGTCAGTAAAATATCTAGGCCTACACTTGGATGCTAAACTGACATGGAAACAACATCTCACAAAAAAGAAAAAACAAATAAACATCAAGACAATGGAGCTACAGTGGTTACTGGGAAGAAATTCACGACTATCTATAGACAACAAACTTCTAATATATAAAACAATTATCAAACCAATCTGGACATATGGACTAGAATTATGGGGCTGATCAACAAAATCAAATGTTGCAATCATTCAAAGATCTTAATCCAAGATACTCCATCAAATTGTTAATGCTCCCTGGTACGTAACAAACCATACACTACATACAGATCTACAGGTACCAACCGTGCAGGAAGCAATACGCAAGAAAGCCATCACACATCATAACTCCATAGAAAACCACCCCAATCAGCTCATGGAACAACTCCTGGAACCAGTAAGCAACAAAAGACTCAAAAAACTGTGGCCAAGTGAACTACTCTTAAGTTAATGTATAGATACTAATTATAGATTATACAGGTGATTTCGCTGGATATCAACCTGTTCATGCCACTAGTCATTAGTATATCTAATGAGTAATCAGCACTTTAGCTTATAGAATTGTGTAATATTCTGATTGCTAAAATCTAAAATAATAAAAAAAATGTTTTAGCCATCAATTAAGCAAATATACTACGTTATTAAAGCGCACGTCTGCGTATTATGAATTAGGCTTTCCGTATGTTTACGTTCTCTTTTACAACTATTTGTATGTACGTTCTATATGCAATGAAGTTAGAAGTGTGTTGATTGCTGTCATCTGGGATTTGATGGCCTTTAATATGGTTGTTATTTACCAGCATTTTGGAGGAACCTATTGCCTACATCATAACCCTGAAGGTAGTCACGTTGAGGATAGAGACAGCAGTAGATAATTTCCGACGTTTCGCAGGACCTGTGCCTTCATCTCCAGGTCTACCCTGAACATGGAGGCAGTGGTAGTTATTTAATGTTTCGGAGGAAACTACTGCGCCCACCTTCAGCGTTTATACCCTGAAAGTAGACATCTAGAATATTGAGATAGCAGTAGATGGTTACCAACGTTTCGGAGGAGTATGTTGCTTTCGACATCAGGATTACATGCCTACATTTCCCAGAAGACAGTACTCACTGCCGCGAGAACGTAACATCTCACAGCAAATATGTTAACTACGAGAACTTCTGTTGGCAGCGCACATGTTGGTGGAACGAGATCTGTAAGGAGGAGTTCCAGACGCTGTTCCGATGTAAGTGCCCTTTGTGGTCGTATTGCCGAAGTCCCGGACGGTATTACAACGCTTTCTGCACCATGACGGGCGTTGGTTACATTTGGACGCAGCCGGATCGAAACTGGGGAGTCCCGATAGGTGTGTGGAAGAGGACCGATGAACAGAGTTCCCGCTCGCAGAGCAACAGTCAGTAACCACATGATGTCAGGTGTCTCCTAGCAACACTCCAAAACCCGTGTCAGTTGAATATGTTTCTCTGGCGTAGCAACAGGCCATAGGAATTCAAGCGCTGTATTCATTATAAATGTAATGGCGATAAAGATTTTGATTTTTATTTTGATTTACCTATTCACGTTGACGAGTACAACTCAATACTATGAACGAGGCTACGGCCGCCAAAACACAACAATATAACCAGTGCCTAAATCTGGAACTCAGTCGTGAGGTATGACAAAGAGGGCCGGGACGAAAATGCAGGGGCGACACATTTTACAGCCCATTTATTTGACTTTTGTTAATTTTATTGTTCGTTTGCTCATATCGTGACCAGTAATTGGCAGTCATCTACGCATGTTAAGACTGTGAAATGCAGACTGGCAATATCGACTAATTCTGTAATCTGAAGCTGGCAGTGACACCCGAACTCCTGTGCGCAAGTGCAGAAACATGTGTATCAAACTGTTATCTTAAGAAATGGGATGCCAATGACAGCTTTTGTAACTGTGTCAGGGAATTTCGTGTTACCGATTTCGACGAAGTTTGGAGGGGACGGGGGGGGGGGCAGAATTTTCTTATAGTCTGGGGCTACATGTGGGCTAGTGCGGCCATTGCAATTACACCTAGTATGGTGGAAACATTCGTTACCAGACTGGGTTTATGTACATAGGCTAGAGCTTGCAGCCTGCAAGTGCTGGAAATATGCTCTTCTTACCATCCCTATTGGTTGCAACGTGTTTATCTGGCATAACAGCAGGTCGCATAGTCTACCAACACACTATAGACCCTAGAGCAATGTTTCACAAACTGTATTGCCTGAAACCCCAAGGTTACGCAAAGAAGTGCCAAGGGTTCTGGGAGAAAATACAGTATAATGATGGTCTAAGTAATTTTAAAATGCATTTGACATCACAACAACATAATTAAATTACATTACTTCGTTACTTTTGTACTAGTTCTGGACAACAAATGTATTGTCACGTAATATGTGTGACTATAGACTGAGTTTCTGATAATTGAAATTATTGACCAGTTGTACATATGACTGATAAGTACAGCACCAATGCTAATCTCCACAATTTGCAAATCACCATAGCACCCACTAAGCCCTTTACAGCCTGCTGTCTTCACCAGCCATCCCCTGGCAACTGCTTCTAACAGTGGAGATTCTTCAGCTTCATGCGCGCAAGTCCACTGCTCTAGAACATTCAAGATAAAACGTATAAGTTTGTAGAACAATGTTAAATTTTGGTATTTCCTTCATATTTCAATTTTGATTTTTTACAAAAATCTATAGTTCGAGGCAGATGCACGTCCTTCCTGCTTCTAGTGCCCATGGATACCAAGTATGTCCTTCTGTAAACTTATAACAGTTACATGATATGAAATTCAAAAGATAAAATTGTTTGCTATAGTATTAAAATTCCTCTGTTTATATTATTTATTATTAATGAAGTTAAGAAAAATAAAAGGCTGGACAAACAAATACAGTCATCTAGTGCATTTAAATGCATGAACGCAGCCAAGTTCTACCAGGAGTACTTAGGATAACAGTGTTCTTAACCCATGTCATATTTGCATGTTAAATAAGTGTAAAGTATTGCTAAAATATTCAGTAGCTTCTTTTAAAGGAGAACTTATGTGTTTTAGAAAACTTTAGAAAATTCAGCAATTCCCTCAGGCAGATCACTTTCCCTTTGATGTGAACCAATAAGCTGATACATCATTCTGTAATAAGAATTATACTGAATCAATGTCATTCAAGACAGGAGAAGGCTGATCCATGGGGGAAGGAATAAGAGTGTGAGTTAATGTTTCATTTGTAATGGACTTGTATTTATGTTTAATTCGCTTAGTGGGGGGTGGAGTCCAGGTGGGTCCACTTGGCACGGTGGCCGCAGATTGGCCTATGGTACCTGTTCCGAGTGATTATGATGATGGAATATAATTGGTGGAATGAAGATTGGCAGGGGAAACCAAAGTACTCAGAGAAAACCTGCCCCAGCGCCACTTTGTCCACTTCAAATCCCACTTGACCAGACCCGGGATCGAACCCAGGCAGCCGCGGTGGGAAGCCAGCAACTAACAGCTTGAGCTATGGTGCGGCCTTGTATTTATGCTTATCTTGTACTTCTGTTATATTCTGGGCAGGCAGGTTGCTATGCTGGTTGCAAATTTCACATTAAACTCTCAGCAGCTACTTACAGATGTATGGCAGTATGTTGCTGGTAGAATAAAAATATTGTGAAAGATATTGAATTCTAGATTTTAAAGGTTACAATTGGTTAATAAAATCTGATTCTAAAACATTTGTTACTGTTTTAAAAAGGGCCCATTTCACTTCAACAGTATGTTATTTTCAAGAGTCACTGTAAGTGAAATTTTAAACATATTTTTATTGAAGTTTTACATAAAATAGAAACAACTTACAGCTTATTTAATATTGAACCTCTCAGTTTTGAGGCCAAAGCTGTTTGTTAAATTCTGCACTTAAAAGTGATGCCAATATTAAGCAACAGTATGAGTGGTCTTATACTCGTATCTGTTTCAAGCTCACTGCTTTTAACCTTGCACTAGAGGTCAGATTGCCTCAGGATTTTATTTTTAAGCCTACACTCTTGTTTAGTATGTCCTTAAAGGTATTCTTAACACAAAATCTAATATTAGACCCTCTCTGAAAAAGTCTACTAAAAATTAAACTTTTGCTCCACTAGTAAGATTTGAGGTTTTGCTCCACTTGTTTCACATATATTGAACCTTTACCTTTTATGAGATTAGAAAATAACCCTGACACCCAAATACGAACTGTGAATACATTTGAATGGAGTACTGTTGTTGCTTCAGTTCACATAACTTCGCTGCTTGGAAAGAAGAGCTTAAGTCAATACAAATTACATTTGACTAAAGCCAGTCTTACTGAGCACCAAAGACATGATTTTACACCCAAGTGGTGTGCTACAGAGACAAGCTCCTTTAAGAAAGATTAGACATTCTGTACTCCACTATACCTATTAAGTTACATTTTACCAAAATTATCACTATATATGGATAGAGAGTATGTTTTCTTGCTTTGTACAAATAATACTGTCACATATGTGACTATAGATGAGGTTTGGATTGGTGATTTGATTTACTGCACACTTTTAACACATGACTCATGACTACACTTTACAGTTCACTGTTACACACAGTGTTCTCAATCTGTTAGTCTCCACTAGTCATTGCCTGGTAACAGCTTCCAATGACGGACATTCCCCTAACTCTGGATTTCTGAACTATCGCTGTGCCTCAGCTACTAGCTTCTAATAACAACAGCACACAACTGAACTGCAGTTCTCTGACTGCTCACTAATTCACCAACCAACACTTCACTTCCCTGCACTGCACTGCACTGCACTGCACTAAATCCCAGACTGGCAGCCATCTCACACCTACCTCCTACTCTTCTGATTGACTCCAACTCAACTGTCTAAACTCTAGACCTGTCCTGCCTATAACACCTTGGCACAGACTGCATAGAAAACACCGTTCCTTGTTGTAGTTCACTTGTTGCATGTGAACATGTTTGTGTTGTGATCATTGTTTATAGTCATTACTTAGCAATGGTCTACATAATAACTGATCAGCAGATGTTTCGCCTGACTACATAAATGCCCAAGGCATGTAAAAGAGAAGCAATGGCACTTATTTTGTATTTAGGGACATTAAAAAACTGTTCAGTTCTTATTACTAATGTCTGTTTTTTTGTCTATCCATTGACAAGTATCAGCATCCAAACTACAGCATCATTTCCAATGATGTTCAGTGTGGTAGACTTGTGCTACTTTTTGGAACTTACAATAATTTTGCTCTCCTACAGATTCAGTTACAGGAATTATACATATTTAACCAAAGATTCATGTCCAACAGATGAATAATCTGCCGCTTCAATCACCTGGACAACTGACAGATGCAACAAAGTGTTAAAAGGCCACTAAGTGGCCACCTCTAGCCCCATTTTTCCCTTCTCTCCTCACAAAACCACTAAACCATCTAGCCAATTTTAATGGCGAGTAAACCATTGCAGTATTTTGAGTTTCCTTTATGGTCAGCAAGATGCACTAAACAGTCTTGAAAGGAGATGAATTGGAAGGTGAGACGTTTATATAGTTTCATCTCTTGCCTCCGCCAGCATTTTACAGAAATGTTCATGCATACCATTCTGGGCTCACACTGTAGTCTAGTCCAGACCCCTTTGGGTAGAATGTGCTACATAAATAATGACAAAAAAGTCTAATTCACATACCCATGCCTTGTAGCAAAAGCTCTCATAAGCCTCAAGACAGTGTGCCCATGCCTGCCTTACAAGCATATAGACAGCAGCTAGTGACAGTACTGCTTCCTTATCTAGATTTTAAGGTGAATGTAAATGCGAAAATAATGTTGTTGTGTGTTAAACTACCCATGTCTCAAAACTTTTGTAGTTACCCATGTAATTACACTTCATACAAGAATTATTGGACACACTATATAAAATGAGCCATTATTATGGGAAAATACCACACACATCAGCACATGACAGTGAAATTTTTCAAACTGCTATGCTCTTCTTTAGTATACAACATGCCCTGAATTATAAAAGGAATCTGTTCTTAAAAATGTAATTTAATGAACCAATTATCCCACTTTTTCTGCCCTTGTTATAAGTGAAGATGCATTCCCAAGAAAATTTTTTGGTCCAAAGTTGTAATAAAATCAAACTTCATTTTACTCATCTAAAACTGAAAGGAAATAGCAACCTACATCACTGACGCGTGTGCACAGAATATTCAAGGGACATCTACATATCTTCCTATACCACTAGCACACACACACGTGATGTTTGAATTTCTTAATAACCATTTCTTACATTTACATTTATTTTCATTTCATGGATCCGATCACCCCCCCCCCCATAGGGTTGGATATAAAACATGTCACATATTACAAATTCATGATAACTACACATCATACATCCTTGGTCCAATAAAATATATAATCAGGCCTCATGCAGATAACTCAAGTTGTCAAGACAACACACATGGGCCATATAAAAACCACTGTCAAATTCACACCTTGCCATTCCACACACACTGGCAGGCCATATCATCAATACAGTTTCATTATAAGATATTAAAATTCATAACAAACACAGATATCATACATGCTGCCACACTTACAACAAGCAAGTCTCAACAACGTATAATACAAGCACACAGACCATTTATTAACTACTAACTTTTGAGCCCCTTGCATGGTCAACAAATTCATCAGTAGAGTAAAATACACTACTTTGCAAATAATTTCGTAACACAAACCTAAATTGCTTTTTATCATTTTTTAAAACTGTGATATTTGACAGCAGAGTGTTAAATAGCTTGACACCTGAATAATACACCCCTCTCTGATAGGATGATGAATGTGTTGAAGGTACATGAAGGTGGTCATTCCTTCTGGTACCAATGACATATACAGAGTTATTTGTCTGACACTTATCCAAATCATTAACAGCAAATATCATCAATGAGAGCAAATATACACATGGGATTTGTAGTATGACAAGCTTTTTAAATAAATCTCTGCATGTATGAGTTGGGCCCACTCCCATCATCATTCTTATTGTTATTTTCTTTTGTATAACAAAGACCTTATGACTGTGTGATGTATTTCACCAATGAATGATAATATGCATAATATACAGCTTTAAGACTATTAATATTTAATATATGGGATAATTTTTGCATTAGAAGACC